TAACAAAAAAAAAAAAAAAAAAAAAAGCCCTGCCTCAAAGAGTTTTCAATGTTAATCTTTATCCTACAGCTTTATGCAATCTTCTAGTTATGCTGTACGGAGGTCACTAAGGCTATGTCTACACTGCACATTTAGTTTGGAATAAAATATTCTGGAAGCAATAATCACAAATAGCTTACTTTGAATAGCGTGTCTATACACCAAAAGTTCATGGAAATAGCACTGAGCTATTTTGAAATAGATCATCCACACTGATTGAACTCTAAATCACATTTAAGACCACCCAAAACCGTTTCAGGCAGGGCATCAGGACAGCACTCACTTCCCATGGTTGCTGCCTGAGGCTATCTGAGGCTTTTGCTTAAAGGGATTCCCCTGTATAGCAGTGTCCCAGGCTTTTTTCCTTTGCCTACCTCATCAAGGGACAGCAAAGCCTTTTCTTTTGCCTGCTGTGGTTGCCCTTGTGGACACCTCTGCAATACAACTATGGAGCCGGAGCTGCCTCTGGGCAGTTGACAGCTACTGCAGCTTGTGCTACGCCTCATGCAGCAGTTCAGTAGGTTGCCTCCCAGACCCTGCAGGAACTCAACCCTCTGATCATTTTGGAGACCCTACTCATCTCTCTAGATGCACAGCTCATGCTGCTGGATCCCGCCCGTCCTCCCCTGCACACCGTGCACCGACGTTTCTGGTGTCTGGACACCAATGCCGACTGGTGGAACCGGCTAGTCATGGAGTGGTGGGACGACCATCAGCGTCTCCACAATTTTCAAATGAGGAAGGACACCTTTCTGGAGCTCTGTGAATGACTCACCCCTGCCCTCAGGTGACAGGACACTCATGTGAGACTTGCTATCTCCCTCCAGAAGTGATCCACCATCCTCCTCTGGAAGCTCGCCACACTGGACAGCTACCGATCTGTTGGAAACCAGTTTGCTGTGGTGAGCTCAACCATCGGGGCCAAGCTCAGCAGGGCTCTCATGGTTGTTGAGGGTGCCTTTGGGCATCTCAAGGCACAGTTCAGATGCCTCCTTACCCAGCTGGACATCGGAGTGGAACATCTCACATATCACGTGGTGGCTGCATATTGTGTCCTTCACAATATTTGTGAGTGGAAGGGGGAGGCATTCTTGCCAGGGTGTGTGGGGCAGAGGCGGACCCCATAGGAAGGGACTTCAAGTAGCCACACAAGGCTGCCATCAAGAGGTTGTGTGCATCTGGGATACCCAGAGGGAGAGTTTCTCTCAAGGTCCCCTGGGCCTCCCCCCTGGGCCCTGAGTATCACCTGTCTCTTTCTTTCCTCCCACATCCTTCCCCTCTTCCCCTGCAGAGACCATAAAAAATAAACTCCATGGTTTTTTTTTATTTGGGGTCAAAATAACCGGGGAGGGACTGGGGGAAAAACCTGGGAGAGGGGGAATGGGGAAGTAGGGGGGATGAGAACCTAGAACCTTGGTGGGGGGATGAGGAGAGGCTCAGGGTTGGTGCTGGGAGTGGTGCCTTGCTCTGGTGATCCACTGCAATGGGTGCAGAGGCCTTGGCAGCCATTGGACGGGTGTTGGGGGAGGAGCAGGCGCAGGCAGCATGCTGGTGACAAGGGATTACACGGCTGTGCACATGGTGCGGCCCTGATCCAGCATCTCCCACCAGGTGTCTCGCTGCAGGTAGATGTCTTTCTCAAGTCTGCACTCCAGGGTCAGCTCCATGGATCAGCGTGCCACGAGGTGCTCCCTCTGGAACTCATCCATGTGACACTGGCACCTGCGGGTCCCTCAGGTTTGGGAGGCGGCTGCAGGTGGTGTTGACCATCCCCTCCCCTCACAGCTGCTCTGGCTGTGGAGAATAAACAGAAACAGTCAGTCATCCCAGGAGACACTATGCCTACTGCAATGGGTGCAGAGGCCTTGGCAGCCATTGGACGGGTGTTGGGGGAGGAGCAGGCGCAGGCAGCATGCTGGTGACAAGGGATTACACGGTGCCTGCAGAGACCAATATGTCCGAAGGAGGAGCCTTATTACCCTCTCCTGCCCCATCCTGGGTCCAAGCAGGTATGTAAAGGTGCTGGCCAGACCAGGATCCTACAGGCCGGAGGGGGGCCATGGGGTGGCTGGGCTTCCCTCCATGCCACGTGTATGCTGGGACCGGCAGTGGTGGTGCCCCGCAGGGAGAGGATGTGTATTCCTGCCTGCTGGAGGAGAGGAGGACAGAATGTTGTGGCAGAGGTGTGTGTGTGAGCGGCAAACGCTCCTGCGCCTCACTGTACTGGCCCCGGGAGTGGATGCTTCCCTGAGAGTGCAGGCATGCCCGTGTGCCATGTGCAGCATGCTGAGGGTGTGTGTGTGTGTGTGTGTGTCTGTGTGTCTATGTCCCCAGTCTTCTAGTGGTGGCTTGTGGCACGAGGGTGTCCCACCCTGGTGTCAGGAGTATGGCAGGCCCCCAGGTCCTGTGAGCCAGAGCACCCTCTGTTGCTCCCTCTGGGGACTGTGTGCCCCAGACTGGCACTGCACATGCACCCACACAGAGCTGTCCACATCTGCACTGAAGTCAATATATGTTTTGATGCTCGGAGGGGAACTAATTCATATCCCTGAGCAGTGTAGCTTATGTCAACTTAAGATATAATGTAGCCACAGCTTACATTTGTTCTGTAAAATAGAACAGGGACAGAAATGAAGCTTTCCCATTTATTTCAATAGATGCAGAAACTAGCTGTAAGTTGAGGCGAAATATAAAGAAAAATACCCAGCAACTCTTGGATTACAACAGCATTCCAGTATTTCTAGGATTCTTTGGCTGAAATGAATGGAAGTACCATGTAAGATGCTGAAGCTCATTTATTTCCAGTATATTGTAGCTTTCATTCAGGGAGTTAATGATAAACAAGCTTAAGACTTCTGCAAAGAATAATACTATCTATGTGCATATAACAATGCTAAATCCTTTATTGCACATTATCCTCCATATTAATTTGTCATAGTTATGTATCCTGGTTTTGCTTTTCCTTGCTCTTTCTAATTAAGATTTTCCATTTCACTGACTCACAGTTAACAAACCAGCACAGACGGCTCATTGCTCTGTCAGTAGTTATCATTATAGTTCTCTAGAGGATGATTTTGCATAAAGAGATTTGCAAGGTGAGATTATTGTTCTCTATCACTATGTATATTTAGATTTTCACATCTCAAGATAGATTTGCTGAATAAAATTGGTAGGCGTTTCTTTAAAGTAGCAAGGTTTTGTTACCTCATTGACATTTACTATGACTGAGTCAGAATGCCCTGAGTTCCTGGTATGGCATGAACGGAGATTAGTATAAAGGTGCTGGCTGGATACAAACACGTCAGGAGCTGGTGCATTTGTAGCTGTTCATGTATATATTCAGCTCTTTCATTCCAGTTTAAATTAGTGATGGGCTTGTGTCTTAAAGCTTCAATGCAAAATCAAATGTACAGTTGATCACATTTGTTTAGAGGACATAAAGGAGACAATGTTTACTTTTAAAGAGACATCACGCCATTGAGTTATATCAGGGGTCAGCAAAATATAGCCCATGGCCAAATATTCAGAAGCAGCCCAACATGATACTCTGGGCTGCCAATATCCTGCTCAGCAGGACTCCTTGCCTGTTGTGCCCCCAAATGCAACATGTGTGTCTCTGTACTGCATGCCCATTGGGGCATGACTGCACACTGCCCCTGCCTCCAGCACAATCCTCACAGCTCCCATTGGCTGGAGTCCTGCCATTTACAGGTGTGTGCAACACACAGAGAGCCACTGTTCTCTCCCCAAAGGGTGCACCGCATAGTGATGTACACACTGGCCTGGCCCCAGCAGCTGGCTGGTTGGAGTGGTGTGTGGGGGCATGGAAAGCAGGGAAACT